TTCTTTATATACCCTAGTGATTTGTGCTCTATCTGATGTGTGAGGGGTAAAGATTTGCTCCCAAGATGTAGGCTTTCTATTCACCTCACAGATTGTTTCTTTTGCTGAGAAGAAACTTTTTAGTTTGAGTCCATACCATTTATTGATTCTTGATTTTAATTCTTGTGCCACAGGAGTATTATTAAGGAAGTTGGGGCCTAATCTCACATAACGGAGATTAGGGGGTTAGGCCCCTTTCTAAAAGGTACTCTGTCCCATTAGTAAACTTTATAATGTACAAGCCTTTCCAACCAGCCTTCTTCACCCTTTGCAGTTTACAACCCTAAGAATAGCACCAAAGCCTGTGTTTTTCTAATTTATATACCAGGACGTGTGTGTATTGTTTCCTGTGTGAGTAGACAGAGTCACTGATTGCATAGCCGTGGGACTCGATAAAGCCACATGCATTGACCTGGAGCAGTTTGAAGGATGCTTATGAAGCTGCATAGTAACTTTAGGAAATGTTTTTATAACCCGTATTGTGTTCCTGCCTCTGCTAATTATTACAAGGAAGCACCCCCTTAATATCCGTTAGCCTTTCACAGGTAAGAACAAAGAGATTGCTGTTCCCACCTGGGTCACAGTTGGGGGTTTTATTCTGTAGTATTGTTCAGTGTACTGTTTAGCAAGACCTCATGAAAAATTACCGAAAATGGGACAGGAAAACTAGGTAAAGTGTTAATTGAGCAGTCTCTTGTCATTGGGATAAAAACATCCTTTTTTTTTTTTTTTTCTTTTTCTTTTTTTATGGCACCGCAAGGCATTAGGGACACTCTGGAGATTGCAGCAACGGGAAGATCATAATGATAATGCTTCAAATTCAAAACTTCAATTCCTTCTGGTTAATAGAACAGGTTCACGTCTCTTAATCTGTTGTTCTTCATATCAGAACTTCCTCTATCTCATCTCTTGTTATTGTTTTACTATTTGGATACCTTTTCAATGAAGCCGATAGAATCACTTCCCCAAAGCCACCCTCCTTGTGAACACAGACATTTTGCTTTGCCAGGAAATTAATTGACTCATGTTCCTGCATGCTGGGGCTTGTTGTAGGGTGGCTGTATTCTGAAACTATCTCAGAGATATGTGGTTTGTGTTTGCTTCTGCTCAGAGACAGGTGTTTGCCCTCAACTTGTTTGTAACTGAGTGTTTCCCAAGAGAAAAATATTAACAAATGACCATAATCTGTTCAAGAGTCTTGATTTAAGAAACAGCCTACCAATCATTCTCTGGGTTTTTCTCCCACCATGCCTGTGTTCCCAGTGGTCTCTTCCTTGATTGTCTTAAACTCATGTATTTTGCGAGTGCACAACATAATTTTGTTTCCTTCGCTCTTCAAAGGACAATTTTTCATTTGTTTGTGCCTTAAATTTCCTTAGCATATGTCTTTGCTTGGCAACCTCAAGCAATTTGGGGGGATATCCTTCACTGGAGGCTCCTCAAAATCACTATCTAAGGTTGGTAGAAGAGATGTACAGAAGCAGGCATACTAGTAGTAGCTACATAAGCAATAGGTAGAGTGCCGATCCCTTGCATCATGTTAATGTAATTTAATCCTCACATGGCCATATGAGGTAAATGGTTTTATTTCCAATTTAAATACGAGAAAGCTTATATAACTGAAATGCAAAGAGATCAAAGTAACTTTGCAGTGTATCTACAGACAGTAAATGGCAAAATCAGCTAATCAGTGGATCCCATGCTACTACGGGAAGGTAAAATGAGTCTCCTTGCCTTGCTCTAGAAAGTTTTACTGGTTGAAGAAAGAATAAGCAGCAGATCTTTAGCAGCAGTTCTTTTTTTTTTTTTTAATCTTTATTTCTTAGTTATAGGTGGACATAATACCTTTATTTTATTTTTATTTGGTGCTGAGGATCGAACCAGTGCCTCATGCATGCTAGGCAAGCGCTCAACCTCTGAGCCACAACCCCAGCCCAGCAGCAGTTCTTTATTATTGTAGCAACCATAACTGGGTTAATCATATCTCAAACCACTGAAGCATCTGCATCCACTTCCTATTGCTGTCATAACAAATTACATAAGTGGCTTTGACAACACAAAGTTATTGTCTTACAAGTCTACAGGTTTGCAATCTAATGGGGGTCTCACTGGGCTTAAAGAGGGAAAAAAAAAAGTGGCAGAGCCATATTTCTCTCTGTAGGTTTGGGGAGAATCCATTTCCTGCACTGCTTGGTTCATGGTCCCTATACATCTTTAAAGCCAGCCATGGTAGATGGAGTTCTTCTCCCATCTCTATCACTCTGAGGTTGGCTCTTCTACCTCCTTCTAATGTCATCTTGTGATGGCATTATTCCTGCTTGGTTAATCCAGAATAGTCTTTATATCTTAAGATCAGCTGCTTACCAAACTTAATTCCATCTACTACCTCTTTTATAAGGGCACTGATATAACCGATCATGAGCACTTTACCCCCATGACCTAATCATATCCTTCTAATATCATCTTAGGGGTTTGGGTTTCAGTATAGAAATTCTGGGGGCATACTTTCAGACCATATACCTTGTGAAAAAAGGTTCCATATACCTTGTGAAGAGAATTTGGGAAGTTAGGTATGGTGGCACATGCCTGTAGTCCCAGCTACTCAGGAGGCTGATGTAGAGGATTGTGAGTTTGAGGCCAGTGTGGGCAACATGGTGATTTCATTTGAGGAGGCTAATTCGTTTGCCTGAGACATACATATTCAGTGATTAATTTAAACTTCTGGGATAAAACTACATTTTCTGTTTTTATACATCACTCAGAAAATGACTCAAGGTTGAACCAGAATGGTGTTTTAACTGGAAATCAGAACTGAACGTGCCTACTTAGGTAACAGTCCCCACTTATAGGATGTGCCTGGCTTCTGGCTTAGTTGCAAAAGTTCTGATTTCTCCGATCTTGGAGGAAAAACTCTCAGAGGGGGGACAAGTTCTCCTAACACATTTCATTCTAGAATTTCTCTTGGGTATGTCGTCTACTTTCCTCAGCTCTGGTTGTAAATTCTATTTGTCTTATATCAAGCCCACACGTCACTTCTGATCTGCTATGGGTTATTTGGACCTTTTGGTTAAATTTTACCCTCCTGAGGCCTTTACAAAGTGGACAAGGCATCATATTTCATGGCCATAAAATGAAGAATCAAAAAAAGATGTTATTTGCAACAAGGTGTATAGCCAATAATTCTGCAGGGATCTTTGCTGAAATGGGAAAATATATAATATTCCACTTAAAAGAAGGAATTAAACTGTAAACAGGTATCATGTATATGTAATACGATATAAAGCATAATGTAATACATGTTTTGCCTTAAAGTAAAGCAGTTCAGTACAAAGAGAGAAATAACAAGGCAAAGGGCCAAAGAGAGGAGGGGTAGACAGAGGTGATGGGGCATTAGTGCTTGAATGTCTTTTGGAGTATAGCCACTGGGGGATTTGAAACCCTGCTTTCATAATCACAGTTGCAAGTGGGACTGTTGTTAATACTAGACTAATTGAAGACTCAGACCAGATGGAGCTTGAGCGAAGGATGTTGCACCATTTGTTGGGCAGTCTTTCCAACAGAGAGGAGCTTCTATTGATATAGCTAGAACAGCCATTGAACCTTTTTCTTCACCCCTTCTGACATTACTTAGGGTTAACTAGGCCTCTCCCCTAAGGTTGGGAGGATCAAGGGCAGCATTTGGGTTGTTCCAGGGCACTGAGGCCTCATCTCCAAGTGAGATGGCTTCGTTGCCAGCTAGTGTGGTGAAGTAGGAGTAACAGGTTAATTTTGGTCTACAGACATGTGGCTGTGTAAATAGAACTTATAAAAGGATTTCTCAGTACTGTCCCCTACTCCTGCCTCTGGAAGAAGACATCAAATTATATACCTTCCCCTGTGGACTCTCCCTTGTTTCATCTCTCCCTGTCCCTCCCCTCTGTGGGAAAGATAGGGATTATCTTTCCTGTTTCAAGTTTAGAAAAAAAAATTAATAGACATAAATAAAAAGTAGTTTGTTCTGAATCAGGCATGGTGGCTCATGCTCGTAATCCTAGCTACTCATGCCAAGGATTAGGGTAAGGAGGCAAGAGGATCTGAAGTTTGAGACCAGCCTGAGCAATTTAGTGAATTTCTCTCTCAAAGGGCTGGGGATATAGCTCAAAGGCACAGTACCTGCCTAGCACTACAAGTCCTTGGGTTCAATTCCCAACATGGAAAAATAAATAAATAAAAGTAGTTTGTTCTAAAAACTTCTGCAAGAAATTTCTGCAGAAATTCCCTTGGGGGAATTTTAACCCCTTTTGTAGATTCAAAAATGTTGTACCAAAAATTTGAACCAAGAGACTTAAGAACTGGTTAGAGTTGGTAATAGGAACAAGCTAAATGAGGTGGCAAAGAGACAGATTCCCATATGTAGGGCAAGATAGATAGCTGCTTTATTCAGTGGGTCACTGATCTGGGAATTGCCCTTAATTTGGAGGTATGGCAATCAAAATGTAAGGTAAGGACCTTGTTTGTACCCTGAAACTAAGGATGCAATAGTTAAACAACAACAACAAAACAAAATTTTTTAAGTCCATCAGGGACATCTGGACATGGTCTAAGTAAAAGCCTAGAATTTATAACCATGAAAAACCTAACAAATGAAGCAAGTTTGACAAAATGTGCAATCTGGTGAATCTAGATGATGGGTTTACAGGGCTCACTCTGTGATCTGTAATCCGTGATGATGAAACATTTTCATTTTGACTTCTTATGTGTTTACCTGGCCTCCTGGGCCTATGGTAAGTGGTCAAATTTTCATTCCTGTTGAGCTATCTAGAACCAGAAGAGCCAGATGCCCTCCTAAAGCTGCCTTATGAGCAACTGCTATCATCATCTGGGGCTGTTGATTCGGGATTGAAAGAGTAGGATGTTGTCCTAGATGATGATGGTTTAGAGGTGGCTTTTTTTTTTTAACCTTTCACTTTATTTTTCTATAGGACCACCATGAGGCCCCAGACCTTCTATGATGGATGTCATTCCTGTACCAGAGGAGTATGCCATATTCCATTGGCTGAGCCGTTCTGCCCCAAAACAAGAGAGGTTCGTAGACTTTCAGGAAGATGTACCAGAGCAGTTCATAAGGGCTTGGGGTGATTTCTGCAGTTATATCAGTTAGCTGAGCAGGTGGTGTCCCTTCTTCTTTCAAGCTTTTTATTGAGGGTCTTGCCTCTGAGGCTAGCCTCCCAAGTCACTGGCATTGTAGGCATGCACCACCATGCCTGTCTGGAACCTACCTTTTTAATAAGCTCCTATTTTGTGGGCTGGGGTTGTAGCTCAGTGGTAGAACACTTGCCTGTCATGTGCGATGTGCAAGGCCCAGGGTTCAATCCCCAGGTACTGCCAAAAGAAAAAAAAAAAAAGTTCTATTTTGCTGTCAGAATACTTTTTAAATAATTTAATATAGGACAGCATGATAGTTCAGAGTATATAGCCTGAGCTGAGTACAGTATCACCCACCTCTAATCCCAGCAGCTCGGGAGGCTGAGGCAGGAGGATTGTGAGATCAAAGCCAGCCTCAGCAGTTTAGTGGTTAAGTGCTGCTGGGTTCAATCCCTAGAACCAAAAAATAATAATTAAAAGAAGAAGAAAATATAGCCTGAAGCCAGATTACTTAGCATCAAGGCTGTGCTCTTTAGCTTGATAGCTGTGTATTATCGGGCAAATTATTTAACATCTCTGGGCTTCAGAAATGTAAAAAGAAGACAATGATAACATATTTCCCAGGACCGTGAGGGGCAAAAGAGCTAATACAAAGTGTTTTGAACCATGTCTGTCAGTTATAGGACATCTAATGATTAATAACTGCTTTTATGAATTAAATTTTTATCGATAATCTAAAAATGTTCGGATTGGCATCTTCTGCTTTTGAGCTGAGTTTGTCCATTATTGTCCAGCCTCTGCTCTAACATTAGAGTACAATCTCAGAAATATGGTGGCAGTCACACAGGGACCATTTATGGCATCAAGTGAGAATCTCAGCCTTAACTTCCAGTGAATTAAAAATGTCTCTTAGAGAAAGATCCTGTGTTGTGTCACTTTTCTTGAAATCCTCGGTTTGAAAGTCAGGTGCAACCCAAAAGATTAGAAGTATTGCCATTTGTGTTAAAATCTCTGTATGTATAAAGAGATGAGTATTTTTAGAAAATTTACCAGAAACTTGTAACCGGGGTTTCCCTTGGAGGGCAGGTGACCTGGTTCCTAAGTCAGGGTGAGAGAAATTCTATCCCAACCTAACAGCCTTTTACGTATTATTTTGGTTTGGACCATGTACACATGTTACTTGTTCTGAAAATGATATCACTTGTAGTCATTTCAGAAGATACAAATGTTCTAATACATCTTTATCTGAATGTTCTAATACATTTTTTTCTGGTGATCTAATATTGCTAGTCCCTTTACGAGGATGTGATGGAGCTCCATTTTGATTACTCAAGATAAGAAAATGAAATCATCTTAGCCTCAGAACTGAGTTTGGCCCTGTAGTTTATTTTCCCCGCTTCCTTGGGGTGTTATTACTTGTTCTCCTGGGAGTACAAAGTATTGGTTCAGCAATGAGGCCCCCAGGGTCTGTCACTGTAACCAACCTGAATCCAGAAGTCTCCTTTTCCTCCTCACAGACATGGTACCAACTCTCAGAGCATTGAGGAGGACTTAGGTGTCAGGTGTCACTGGCCAGTGGGACACAGTAGCTATGATCTTAACACATGTCTAGAAACTGAAGTTTAGCCAAGACACACAGCTCCATTATTCTTCAAAGACACTTAATGAAGGCAAGACTGGGTTGGGGGGAGGGGAAGTAGGGACTTGGGCCCTTGGATTTATAACTTGTACTGTGTGGGAGAAAGGGTAGATTAAACATAATTTATATTCAGCATTCATAAAATAAAAGCACAGTACAGCATCTAGTGTTCATTGCTGACTGCTTATTATGGTTCCAAATTGGGAGTTGCCAAAGCTCCTATTAAAATTTTCTTTCCCTTTTCCATGGCATAATGAGTTATATGTAAGGAAATAGATTAATTTGCTTATAGAGTTCAGACTTGTGCAGGTAAAATTTAGCCTAGATTAGAGCCGTCTTTTGACTTTTGAATCCCTCCATTTTATATATCCACTATCGCAGGAATCTGCCATTCATTTGGCAAACTTGTGGAAGTTGCTGATATTAGTGATCATTGAAAGACCAGTTTAGCCTTTATGTAGTGTTTACAGTGTTCTGGGACAATTCTGTGCAACCATATACCTTAGCTTATTTAATCCATGATATTTCTGAGTTATACAATATTGTTATTCCCATTTTACAGATGAGAATACTAAGGCATGAGGTTAAGTGACTTTTCAACAGTGCTTTAATGGGTTAACAGCTAAGTTGAAGAAAACTAATTTTTTTTATATTAAAAGGGAATGTTGACACAGACTAAGAAAAAATTAAATTAATACCCTGAAGATAGACATTCATTATTAATTAAAACACTGGACAAAATGATCAAAATTTTTAATGTTTCTAAAACCCATATATGATCTTCTCTCTAAAGGAATGCCAAGATAAATTTATTCCTGGATGGAAAAAAATCAGCACAGCTCCATTCTGTTCACCATATGTCCTTAGAGCAGCAACAGGCAACAGAGAAATGACTTTCTAACTCAAAACAAAGATTGTACTAAAGCCTGCACCTTCTGGGGTGGGGTTGGGGGGGAAGGGGGGCATGAGCAGTTACTCCTCAGGAGCTTTGGAAATAGAATTCAGCACAACTCTTTCAAGAGATGTGCATGTCAGAAGGCTCCTTAGCTTACTCTGAGAAGTCAAGAGGTAAAACTCAAGTCCAAATTCACAACCCAGCTTAGATTCTTAAAGTTGTGAAAAATAAAGCAGGTAAGCAAATTCCTGGTGCATAAAGAGATCTCCTTGTCTGTTCCTATAGTGTTGATCTATCTATGCAAGGGGACTGTATGAATGAGTAAGGGGCTAGTGTAGGAGACCCCATTCTGTGATCTGTTTTAAATAAATAACTTGTTAAACATCAGGGAATAAATAAAATTATAAATCATACATATGTTCATATGTTTTTAGTTTGTGTTTGGTTTGGTTTTTTTTTTTTCCCCTAGGTTCTCATAGAGACTGCTAAGAAGCTAGGACTCCGGTGCCACTCAAAGGGGACAATAGTCACAATCGAGGGACCTCGGTTTAGCTCCCGGGCAGAAAGCTTCATGTTCCGCACCTGGGGGGCAGATGTTATCAATATGACCACAGTTCCAGAGGTGGTTCTTGCCAAGGAGGCTGGAATTTGCTATGCAGGCATCGCCATGGCAACAGATTATGATTGCTGGAAGGAGCATGAGGAAGCAGTAGGTGGAATTCTCTTCTGAGCATGTGCAACATGGGTTTCTGGGTACCAAGAGCTTTTGAGAAAACATCTTAATTATTTTGTGTATGTGTTAGTTTCAGAGAGTGAGATCTTTTGTCCAGGAATCAAGATGAACAGTACATTCATTGTAGGCATGTAGATCTGCTGAAAATCACAATAAGACTTGGGCCTTACTTGAAGGATAAAGATGTGTTGTGGTTGTAATTTTTTTGTACGAAAGGGGTTAATGTTGAAACGATACAGGAGTCCCTCTCCAGTTGACCAAACCATTTATTTGAAGTCTGAGAACCATCCTGGTTTAAGTATGATGGGGGGCAGGAGAGGCATGATGGAGAGGAGGGAGATGGCAGCAAGATGTGGCAGGACCACAGACAATGTGAGCATTCTGGATGCAAGACCACAGAGGGCTTGAAGCAAGGAAGATAGCAGGTCCTACTAGAATTTGAAGCTTCCAAAACAAACATTTTTATTGTGGGAAACTATAAAGATCTATGGAGCCCACCTCTCAACTTCTACAGGTACCAACCCTGGCCAGTCTTGTGTCATGCATGTCCCTTTCTGTTTCTCCAACCACTACCCTCTTTTTGAAGTAAATAGTTTTCTAATATGGCATTTTTTTTTAATTTTTAAAAAAATTAGCCACTGTTATTAGTTTCTTGATATAGTCAAATATTTAGACTGCTTGTATTTTCCTTCTGGTCTCATGATCTTTAAAAGTTTAGTCAAATTGGGATCCCTGCAGCTCAGACATTGTGTGTTAATGGTATGCCTCTTAAGGATCTTTTAGTAGTCTCCGCCCTCTGTTCTCATTCCTGTGAGAGCATTTGTCTTGTCATTTATCTCAGTTTAAAATAGAAAAAGGGCCAGGCACAGCAGTACATGCGTATAATTCCAGCAACTCAGGATATTGAGGCTGGAGGATCGCTAGTTCAAGGCCAGCCTCAGCAACTTAGTAATGCCCTATCCCAAAATGAAAAATAAAAAGGGCTGAGAATGTGGCTCAATGGTAAAGGGCCCCTAGAATCCATCTTCAATACCAAATATAAAATAAAATAGAGAAAGAGACAAAACTAGGGTTACCAAACTTGAAGGAAGGGAGATGATACCTCCAAAGAGGCCCTTACCACATCTCAAGAGAGTTGCTTATTTTACCATCCAGTTTCACATTTGAAAAAAAAGGTTAGCTACTTTTGCCATGCCTGTCCATGTGTACTGTGCTTGGGTGCATAGATAGGTGAACACAGGTTCTTGATTTTACTTGAACGCCTTATCCTGGCTCCTCAGTGTAATGCAATATTGCTGATTACTGGAATATCTTTTACACATATATGCAAATCCTGACTTCAGGTCATACCATAATATCTGGTTGGGAGCTTTGTAACCTAAGGGAGACCTGGTTTCTGAATGTTGAGAACATGTGTTCAATTAATAGGAAACTCCAGCCCTTGCAGCTGGCTCCCTGAAAAGTTTTGCTTCCTGCTTATGGCTTTCTGCTCAGCATGTCTCCTTTGCACAAGTAGCAGTGATTTCCTTTAGCAGCCCAGAAGAGAGTTGGAAAGCAGTCAGTCGGAGCCAATTCATTCAAAAGCAGAGAACCTGAGATCTCTGTGATAGGCATAAAGACAAATAATGTTAAGTGCCACAAAGAAGACACACAAAGGTGGCAACAACTCAGCTCGCCAAGTGTGTCATGTGCTTTAAGCCAGACATGCACCCTGGCATGGCAGGAAGGTTTTGGAGTTGCCTCAACCTGCCTTCAATTCTAGTTGTTCCGTTTACCTGTGGCACTAGACAAGTTATTGAAGCTGTTAACTCCTCTGCAGAATGAAGCCAGGGAGTGAATGGTTGGAGTGAATGGAAGTGAATGGTTGGAGTTGTTTAAAAGTTTTAGCTGGACCTTTAATAGAGGGTTGAATTTTTCCAGGGAGAGGGTCTGTAAGAAGGGAACCTAACAGAAACAAAAAGAGATCTATCTATATAGATACATCATTTACAGGAAAAATATGGGGATGCTTAAAAACAAGGTAAATCTCTTGGATGCTTCATATATTTGCATTTAATGACTCAGCTGAAACCATGCCTTTACATGTTCTTGGCAAATACCCAGTTGCCCGCGGCTTTGTGTTGCACAGTACTGGAAATTTCCCTCTGCTGTGGTGCCCATGCTTGTTTTGTTTTGTGTTTGGTTTTTTTTGTTTGTTTTTTTCCTAAACAATCCTCAGTGCTCGTGGGAGCAATCTGGACATGAGATAGAAGGGTATAATCATCATGTCCCTAAATCTAATTTTAGTCATAATACAAAAGTAGGCAATAGTATGGACATCCATGAGCCCCAACAGCCAGTTTTAACCATTATCCTCTCAACTTATGTCCAGTCACATTTCATCTGTATTTCCCTTCATAATTTTAATCCAAAAACATTTCAGGAATTATCTGACATAATCATACTATCATTATTATACTCCAACAGTAATTCCTCAATATACTGCAACAAAACTCAAGTGTCTAGTTAAATGTCATAATAAAGTATTTCTTTTTTTTTGTATAGTAAGTTTTCTTAAGGAAACCAAGACTCTTGTCCTGTTGAGTTTCTCACAGTCTGAATTTCTGAAAGCTTCCTCTTAGAGTAACAGGTTTCTCTGTCCTCTGTATTTTCTGAAAATTGACAGCTAGATCTAGAATTTGATCAGATTCAGGTGTCTTTAGTAGGTTTTTTGTTTGTTTCTTGAAGCCCATGATGAGTAGGGAGGTTTTGGGTTGTTTGGATAGTTTGTGATGTTAGTAGCCAAACCATTAATTCATTACAAGTCATACAGTGGTGATACTTTGATTCTATAATTTTTTTTTCTTTAGTAGTTTTAGAACAACTTTCTAAAGAGACAGTACTTATTTTACATTTGATTATCCAATGTAGCCCCAATTTTAAGAATGGAATTCATTTTACTATGGACATGGAGAAAACAGAACCTTGTTTTCACACCATACTGATCCATTATACATCTGAGATATTTTCTCAGATACCATATTGAAAATTGTTAATGCTCCCCCCCCCCCGCCTTTTTTTTTCTCCAAGACCTCTGCTCTAAGACTAAAACCATCTTGATAAATGCAGTGTTTAGGTGTAAAGGATTGAATTTGGAGTAAAACAGATTTTACCAGTCAGGCTTGTTAGTCTCTAAGCTGCTATAACAGAAAATCTCGTAAACTGGGTAGCTTCTGAGCAAAAGTTTTTCTTTCACAGTTCTAGAGGTTAGGAAGTCCAAGGTCAAGGAACTGGCCAGTTGGATGTCTGGTGAGCACCTGCCTCCTCATAACCATCTCAATTCTCACTTAACCTCACAAGGGGTGAGGGTACTCTGTGATCTCTAGTCTCATTCATGAGGGCTTTATTTTCATGACTTAATATCCTTTAGAGGCCCACCTCCTAGCACTCTCACATTGGGGATTAGATTTCAACAGATGAATTTGGAAGGGACACACACATACACACCATAGTAAGGATCAAACTCAAGAAAAATATTCTGTGAACAGAAATGGACTTGTAAATTCAGTTAACATCCTATGCTGTTGTTTCTCTAGGTTTCAGTAGACCGGGTTTTAAAGACCCTGAAAGAAAATGCCAACAAAGCCAAAAGTTTACTCCTTACTGCCATACCTCAGATAGGATCCATGGAATGGTCAGAAACCCTCCATAACCTGAAGGTAAGTGTCCTGAGCCATCTTTGCAAGCATACACTTCCAGAGACTTTAGACATCATCTTCTCACTTCCATTTCACCCTGGGTCTATTTCCCTACATATTTTATGCAATCGTGAATATTTTTTCAGTAAGTTTTCATGCCATTTACTACCATACCAATCACTTATGAAACTGAACAATCGTATTTTCTGACTAATAATGCAAGACCAAGACCATTGGAAACTGGGGTGGGGAGAGTTTATTATCTTGTGTCCCATATTATTCACATTGTCTTGCAGTACATCACTAAGTCTTTTTTTGTTTGTTTGTTTTCAAAGCTATTTTCTCTTTGGTAGATTCATAGAAAATGTTGGCAAGCATTCAAAACTAGAACTGACATAGCAATACCAAGCGTCAGGGAATATGTGACGCAGCATGGGATCAGACTAACAGTCATTAATGATGAACATGAAAATGGTTTCAGATTGGTAGCTTTCCAACTTTGGTATTAGTTCCCAGAATATAATTTATACTAACTGCTAAACTGAGAAGTACATGATGCCTTGAATTGTTCCAGTTAAAGAGGGCTGTATCTTAAAGTCTCCTAGAGACACTTGTATTCTTTGGTCTTATAACACGTTGAGAGGAGCTATAAAGGTTTATAGAAGCCCTACCTACCTCGATTACCACTTAGGAGTTCAGAAATGAGAGCTACAGTTTTACTGTGATGAGACTACTATGTGGTGTTTGTTGACTTATATTGTATAAATACTCCAGGACAGTCTGTGAAGCTGCCAACGTGGAGCCACTGAGAAGTTGGGAAATGGCTCCTGCAAGCTGGTACAAGCACGTTCTAACACACCACTATTACTAAGATGTCTCAGCTTGTAGGACTGGCCAAGCCATGAGTGTTAAAATTAATTATCCTCCCTACTAGGACTCATATCTGTTGACTTCAATACTGTGTACCTAGGAGATTTTTTTTGAGACCGTGTCTAGCCATGTTGCTGGGCTGACCTTGAGCTTGGAATCCTTCTGCTGTAACTGGGGTTACAGGCATATGCCACTACACCTGGCTTTGAAAATGTTATTTAAGAATAAATGATAGTCCCTTTCCTCCATGAAGTGTTTTATCATAATTGAGATACAACCTTTAATATTATTCTAATTATGGAGAATAGAAAAACAAAAAATATTCTATGAAACAGCAAATGTTGGTTTAAACTGAAACCAAGTGGCTTGATTTTGATTTTTTTTATTTCATTTTAAAATGTTACATTCAACTAAGTATAATGCAGGGCAGCAAATCCTCAGCTTGTATGATAATCACGTGTTGGTTTGCTGGAAATATCACTCAGATTTTTGTTGCTGAAGGGACTTGTTTACCTTCAAGCTATGATAGAGATACGATTTTGTGGGGGAGAGGGAAATCTCCCAACGGACCCCAACTTCACCATAGACTCTTGAATTTGAAAGTAATTTCTTAGGTAAAAAATGCTTCAGTGGTAGAAGCCTTTTTGTTTTAAGCTTCTGACTTTGTTACATTTATTCACTTTTAAAGAAGGTGAGTGTGTCATCAGATTTTCAGAGAGGTAAAAGAGAAAAAAAGAAGAATTGCTAACAAAATTGAGTTATTGTGGCCTTCATTCTGGGACACTAAGGACTACCATACAAACAATTCCTTGACTAAGTAGTATTTTCAGTCTTCTGAGCACTGAAATGTATATCATTCATTCACTCGCTCACTTAATTCATTTCAGCAATATTGATGTGCCTGTATGTCAAGCTCTGGTTTAGAAAGGTTCACAAAGACTTCTTGTGATGATTCTATCCTGTTGAAAATATAGACACATTAAAATTTCGGTGATTTTTTTTTTTTTTTTTTCTTTTAAAAATGAGATAGGAATAAGAGCTAGAAGATGCATAAACAACAATCCAGGCTAAGGTTGGAACATAAAATGTATCCTAATACATGGATGGATATGAGTGACTATCAGAATATTCTTAACCTCATTTAGGGGAAAAAGAAGTGACAAAACATACCTGTAATCCCAAACACTCAGGAAGTTAAAATAGGAGAATTGCAAGTACAAGGCCAACTTAGTAATTTAATGAGACAGACCCCGTCTCAAAATAAAAAGGGCTGGGGATCTCGCTCAGTAGTAGAATGCTTGCCTAGCATGCTCTGTGCCATGGATTCGGTCCCTAATACCATACACACACATACACTGTTCTGAATAATCTACAAAACCAAAATCTGGAGGATTTATTGCTGTTGTTGAAGTCCAGTTTTAGCAAGTACTTCAGGTAATTAGCATACTCACCTATGCCTACAATGCTCATCACTTTCTACTTTCTTCCTTTCAGAATATGGCCCAGTTTTCTGTTTTATTACCAAGACACTAAAATCGTTTTTTATTACTGCTCAGAAGAAAAGAAGACTTTACAGTTATTTTGGATATTTTGCTTACCTTGAGGGGAAAACAAAACAAAAACTTGGGAAAGACATGCAGCTTACCTGCAAAAGAAGAGCAGGTAGAAAGACATCGCACGTATTGGAGACTCTGCCTTAAAAATTGAGACTGTTTGAGAGCAATGAGGAAAAGCAAATGGACAGGAAATCTTACATTTTGGGAAAACACCAAGAAGAGAGCATTCTCACCTCACTTCCCTTATTAAGTTTGCAACAATAAAGATTTAAGGGTAATACTCACTTTCCTACATTGACATGGAATATGGGGAAGAAATGGGACTCTGGTTATTTATTATAAATTGGTACAATCGTTTTGGAGGGCAGTTTGGCAAAATGCATCAGAAACCTTAGAAATACTTATGCACTTTGTTGGAAAGTCCTAGGAATTTCTCCTTCAAAAATTATTGGAGAATCATACAAAAAACTATGTATGAAGAGAGATGTTTAATAGTTACTGTTAAGATAGTAAGTTTTCACAACAATCTGGATTTCCAACAACTGAAGGTTATTTATGGTTTCAGTTATCATTAGATTGTAAAGCAATCAGCTGGCGATCATGTTTTCATGTAATATTTAATGTTCCAAATAAATTGTCCATGTATATTACAAAATGGGAAAAAAGAAATCATTTTCCTGTTCTAGATTTGTTTTAAAAATGCTATGTAACTGTAAAAAGACTAGAAGGAAATATACATAATCTTTTGTTATTGTATTTGGGAGAGGAATACTAAATAATTTTAATTTTCTTTTGAATCTTTCTGAATCTTCACATTTTTCTACAATTAGTAAAATAATAAAGTCATAAGAATAAAAGTGGATTTAAACACTTTCTGGTAATGAATCAAAATTTAAGAGGAGTATTGTTTAAGGAAGTTAGTTCTTTTTCTATTAAAAAAGGACAGTTGGTTGCTACACAGTCAGCTTGGATTTTCTTTCATCAGCTTCCAGAAAAAAGCCACATGATTAATTCTGAGATTGTCTAAATGTTGAAACTGTTATAAGAGCTGTGGTTGTGGATCAGGGGTAGAGCACTTGCCTATCATGTGTGAGGTACTGGGTTCCATCCTCAGCACCACATAAATAAATAAAATAAAGGTCCATCAACAACTAATAAAAATATTTTTTAAAAAAACTTGTTTTAAAAAGTAAATACACTTTAGTGTATCTGGTATTTTTAAACTAATATTTTTCTACTCCTTATGAGTTGACATTATTTTTCATGAGTTGGTGATTCTTATTTCTTCATAGAATTAAAAGTGAACCTTTTTTCTATATATTTTATATTATTGATCTTATAGGAATATTTAAGTTTTGTATTATTAAGAGATCATTTTTTTTCCTCAGATTCTTTTTTTTCCTAACATGTTATATATTACAAGATACTTAGGATAGGGGCAATGGGATCTTTTGTTTAAAAAGTATAAAGGTAATGTATTTGTGTCTGATATTGACTTCAAGATAATAAGTTGCTAAGTGTAAAGATTAAGGAAGCCAGTCACCCTCCAGCCATGACACTGAGCCCTTTGGGTTACATGTGATTATGACACTTGGACTCCTTGATACAGTGGTTCCAACTCTGGTAGAGGTCCACAGAGAACGTGGGTTCTCCAGCTGTGGAACCCACAGTGTTCTGCACTGTAACACAGATCATACCTTACTTTGCATCATTATTAGTAGGTGCCCAAGAATGTCAAGGCAGAAGCGTGGGCATTTGTATTGCTGCCTTTAGAAAATAGTTTTTTTCCCCACTTTGGAAAAGAACTTTTCTGTGTCTAGTAGCCTTTTCTAGCAGTTTCTTAAATAGGGTAAATTCTCATATTGCTTGTTATTAATCATTCGCCCTGTATACAGAGCCAGTATAATTTTCTTACCTCATGTTTGGGGATGTTGCTCGATATCTACTGGAACACTTCTCACTTCTCTGCTACTTGATATTTTTCCCCCCAGTACTAGGGCGTAAAACCCAGGACCTTGTGTGTTATAGGCAAGTGCTCTACCACTGAACTGCGTCCCCCGCTCTATTTTTTTTTTTAATTAAGTGAACAGTATAGTCAGTTTTGACCATTTTGAAAGGATGATAGGCATATGGGAAAGCTCTGGCTTAGTGATTTCGCATCTTATTTGATTGGATTCGCATCTGCTTCAAGTGGGATTTTTATGGCATTATAATCTGATCTTGTGTTTGTCATTGATGTTCATAATTTTAAGAATGGCAACCCAAATAATTAATAAGTGAAGTGTTAACCTAAAAGAATGAAAAAAAAAATGGATCAGCAGGGTTACGTTTGATACCTGAAAATATTTGGCAGATTAACCTACATGTATTCAGAAATTGTAACAGGTAAGTGCTGGGGAATGGCTAAAATTCTCATTGACATGAGGTGCTCTAAATAAATGACACATCATTTCAAATATGTGCAGTCAGTTGTCAAAAAGAACAGAGATGTATCTTTTGTGTACTAGTGTGGAGCAATGTAATAAAAGTGTCAATCAGAAAAATATGTAAAGTAAAATAAGTATGCAGTTGGGCATGTGGATAGCATATTTATGCTCTGTTCATAGGAAGTTTCTGGAAAGAAACTTAATGATAAGCTCTGAGGAAAGAAGACTGGAAGACAACTGGCTTCATTGCAGTTTATGTAAATGAGGTAGAATTTCTGTTTCTTGGTATTAAATTCTGCAACATGGTATTCAGTTTTGGTCACAGCACTTTAAAGGGGAACATTGGCCATCTAAAAAGCACCAATAAAGGGATGAGGCAACTGGGAAACACAGGGCCACATTAGTAATGGTTAAAGGAATTACATACATCCCACCATTGAAGAGAAAACCTTGAATAAAAACTTCATGTATAAAAAGCTCAGTCACAAAAAAGTCATTCAGTTATAAAATTCTGTCTCTTTACTATTTTTTAAGCCCCATAAAGGCAGGAACCATATCTTTTTTACTTTCTAATTTAGTGTAGGATCTGTTCCTTGTACTTAGCATATAGTGAATAAACATCTGTGTAAAAAAAAAAAAAAAACTGATAACATCTCAATATGCTTTCACAGCTCTCTCAAACTCTCCATCCTCACTTTCAGCCGGTTCCCTCATGGACAAAATGGAGGGAGGCATCAGAAGAGAACTTCCAAGGACCCCCTTCTCTCTCTCCTGACCTGTTTTCCAGACTGTCACCATCCACGATGGTGCTTCTCGAGCTTACATATCAACATCACCTGAAGGTCTTATTACGTTGCATGGCTCCAACTCAAGAGTTTCTGACTCCTGGGGTGTCTGGTGAGACCTGATCATTTGCATCTCTAATAAGTACCAAGTGACACTGCTGATCCAGGAACCCCACTTTGAGAATCCCGTATTATAGCCATTTCTGCTTCATCATCCTCTTAAGATCTCAGACTTCTGACACAAAGACATCACTGGCAACACTGCCTTTCAATCTAGATTCCCCTCTTCATTGGATCATTTCACCACAAGATTATTTTTCATTAAATTTATCATGTGTATGGTATTGGGGATTGAAACTAGAGCTTCATGCATGGTAGGCAAGTGTTCTACCAATCAACTAAACCCAAAGCTATCATTAAAACTCTTACCCTGAATTCTAGGTCATTTTTTGTCTCATCTTTTTTGCCTTTTATTGAAATAAAATCCCTTGAAGAGTTATCTATTCTCGGTGCTTCCAATTCATTTTTCAGCCCACTCCAATTCAGATTTTGCCATCATCCATGCCCAGCACCACCAAAATTATTCTCAAGGTCACCTTTTTACTTATGTAATGGTTGATTCTTAGACTTCAACCTTCTTTTCCTATAGGCAGTGTTGTGCTAGGAGCTCTCCCTCCCTGAGCAGCTTTCTTCACTTGGCTTCTGGAGGCACCACGTCTTGCTTTTTTTTCTGTCTCAATGCTTGCTGCTTCTCAGTCTCCTTTGCTGGTTCCTAACCGTCTCCCTGGTTGTCCACCCCGAGGCTCAGTTCTTAACAATCGCTTTACATCTCCCCTACACCTGCTTTCCCAGCATTCTTCCATCTCAGTAATTGGCAGTTTTCATCCTTCCAGGTCCCCAGACCAAAACCTTGGAGTCATTGTTTCTATTTAAAACCCTCATTTATCAAGAAACACTATTTACTGTAACCACTGCCTCCACCCTAGACTGAGCCACTCTCATCTCTTACCTGAACACTGCAATAACCTAACAGGTCTTTCTGCTTTCATGCACCACTTATAGCAACCCAGGAGCCAGGATGGTTCTTTTAAAAAATTTTTTTAAAAAAACATCATTTCTCTGCTCCAAAATTCTGGGTCCTCAGGGTAGCCCATGCATTCCCATGTCATCTTCACTTGCCCTGAATTTCAGATTTCCTCCCAGTACCATCCCTTTAACTCTGCGCTTTCCACTGGCCTTCTTGCTTTTCTTAGAGTATGCCAGGCCCTCTCTTCCTTTCACACCAGAGTATTTCATTTGTTCTCCTACCCGGAAATCTACTACAGCACTACCTTTAAATCTGTTCAAAAATTAGTGGATCAACCTCAAACATCCTATTTCAACAGAATGTAATCATATCTCCAGCAAGCTAAGGGACTCACCTGGCCTGCTCCCCACCCCCCATTGCTCTTAACTCCTGCCAACATACTCTAATATCTGTTACATTTGTTCATTTGTTGACATATCCAGTAAAATGTGAACTCTAAGGGTGAGAACCTTATCACTCAATGATAGCCCAAATGATCAGGTTAGTTCTTGGCATTCAGTAGGCTTCCAGCCAATACCGCTTTGAATATACAGCTTCCCAATACACACAGCTTAGGAAACCCTGCACGTTCTGGAATGTTGTGGTTTGCTCCTGTCTCTTTCCACCTTTCACAGTTTATGACATTCTAGGTTAGCACTGTCTGATAGAGGGAGAATGTGAGCTAATAGGCAATTTCAAATTTTCTAAGAGCCACATTTCACAGTTTATGACATTCTAGGTTAGCACTGTCTGACAGAGGGAGAATGTGAGCTAATAGGCAATTTCAAATTTTCTAAGAGCCACATTTAA